AGCATTTATGTATACATTTGTCTATATCTATCTCGATTCGTTTTGGCTGTTACAAACAACCGTTATGTGAACAAAGTTAATATACCTTTGTGCACAAATGCGCTCGGGTATAAAAAAACTATAAATACATTGTTAATCATAAATAAATTTATGATTCGAAAAATAATTTTGAAATATTGTAAAATTTTATTTTTTTTTTTGGTTTTTTAAAGTTAAAGTTTTATTTACTTACAGCAACGAACAAAAGTATATGCACAGTGAATTTTTCGCAATATAGGCAAAGTTTCTTATTTATTTCCGATAATTTTTTATAAAAACATAGTTCATACTACACCAAAACACATAAAAATCAAATGTGTAAACTTTGTGAAAAACTCGGGAAAATTCAATAAATTTGCGTACTAATTTGCAACTTTCTATACAGATTTTTTATAAAATTTCCAAGTATGCAGTTTAATAATCCATTCAATTTTAGTTTATCAAAGTGCAAAAATTATCGGGAATAAATTAAAAACTTTGCATATATGTATTGCGAAAATTCACTGTGCCAAAACTTTTGTTCGACACTGTACATATAAAAAATACATACAGTAACTTCTCCTGTTACAATAGTAAAAAATATGTAATTTGTTTTGTAGTGTATTCTTGCGGTTCTTTAAATAAAAAATATATATCAGAAAATAATAATAATTTTTCGTATCAATAAACTCCCAAGCACAGGTTTGTATTAAAAAAAAAAAACCTCCGTAACACTTTATTAAATATTAATCTGCATATTTTATCAATTCGTCGGAATATATATTTTTTTATGTATGTTACCGCATAACTTTGGACTACGTTACGCGTTTTCTATAATTCTTTTTTAAAGGAAAGGTGGTTCCTCAGAGGTAGTCTCCTACTAATTGAGTGTAGATCCGATAATTAGGCCATGAAGAAAATAACGGTACACTTAAATTTGTATATGAGAATTGAAATCGGTTTTGTTTTTTATTTAAAATTTACTCCAGTGTTCACAGCCATATAGCCAGTCGTAGGCCATATTGTTTTGTTAGTTCAATTGTGGAACATTTGTACGAGCTGCTTCGGCTAATACTTCGGCTTTTTTTTATCTCGAGGTTAAGTGCATTGTTCGATGGGGTGATATCATTGCCAAACATGATAGTACTTTGTTTGCCATCAATGAACACTAACTTGACAGAGTTATAATATTCCACATTGATGCGAGCTTCAACAGCTTTGAATAATATTTGCGAGTATGGCTTTTAGTTTTTACCGCTCAGGTAGGTGGCAGGCCTATAGGAAATATTTCATAATCAATAATGTTTCAAATACTTTTCGTTTGACACCTATATTATAATACATACTTTATCTTATTAACTTAATTGAATTAAATTTTCGAAATTAGTGGCAACCCGAATGAAAAATATTTTCAGTAGTAAGGTTTCTTAAACCTTTTCAATTTGATACCCATATTGCAATATTTAATTTATCTTACAAATTTAATTTAATTAAACTTTTGCAACAGGTGGCAACCCCCCTCAAAATATTTTTTTACCTGTCCTGTAAGCCTTCATAACCTCTTTCTTTTGATATCTAATTTATCTCATTAATTTACTTAGACTGAAATTTTTTAAACAGGTGGCAACTCTCTATTTTTTCTGGTTTTAACCATCCGGATATTATAATAAACAAACCAAAAAATAAATAACAATATTCAAATCGGTCAAGCCGTTTTCGAGTCTTAGCGAGACAAGCGGACTGCAATTCACTTTTATATACAGTTCTATCTGGGTCGAGTGAACTAATTAATCCAAGACCAGTTCATAAAATGCAGATTGTTCACTATATCCAGATTGAGTTTTTTGTTCTTTAAAATCAATTTTATTGCGCAGTACGTCTTTTGAAGTTAAATTTTTAAGAACTCTGAAATGTCGTCTTTTCCCTCAGCTAATGCCAACACATGTTTCCTGTTGTTGTTCTATCGTTGTCGTCAAGCTCTATTAGCGGTAGACCCTGGAAGCGTGCAGCCTCGATGGGGTCTGTCCATACGGCCAGAGGCGTTAGCAGGGTGGGGTTCAGTGGGTATGCGAAAGAATGCTGCGAGTCATGGGGCTTCTCTCCGAATGCAGGGAATTCATTTGGCACATTTGCATTTATTCTGCTCAAGTATGAGTTCAACCTGCTGCAGTAGCCAGATCGAAGTTGGGCTATGGGGTCCGACTCTCCCGAGGCAGACGAAGCTCTGTCTCGTCCACGTCTGGTGGTTGCGTGCCCAGAACGGCATACACAGATCGAGAGTCTATATAACTGTCGGTAGGCTGTTGGGTCCAGAGGTAGTTTTTTGAACCCCCGGACTTCGTCCGTCAGTTCATAAAGATGCCTTTGACGTGCCGTCGCGGAGGTTCTTCCGCAAGCAGATGTCTGTTCGGGTACCTAACACGGTGACACCCTACTAGGAATTGCTTGCAGAGCATTGTGTTATGTTCCTTAATCGGGAGCACGTTGGCCTCGTTGCGCAGGTGATGTTTCGGCAACATCAGAAGGCATCCTGTCGCTGTCTGAGTGCCGTGTTTTGGCAAGTCTGCAGTTTCATTCACTGCGTCCTACTAGTCCCCGATAACCACACAGGCGTTGCATAGTTCAGAACCGGGCGGCCAATTGCCTTGTACGTTGCCAGCAACATTTCTTTGTTCTTTGTCTTAGGGGAGAGGGTTAGGCTCCGTGCAGGGACGAAGCGAGAAAACTCGGTGAAATAACCATTATCGAGCAATCGTCAGCATAAGAGACAATCGAGACTACCTCTGGTGGTTGAGGGAGCTTAGAAATGTAAATGTTGAACAGTAGTGGGGAAAGGGCGCCACCCTGTTGATCTCGCTGTTTTATTTTCCTATGTTTGCTCGATTTGTCTCTAAAGATCACTGACGACCATTCAGGTATTTCGCAGCCCACCGTTTGTCTTCTAGTAGCGTTACTTGAATAGTTCTATATAGCTATCGGGCGAGAAGACTCCTTTGTTGGACAGTTTCCCCGGTGGACAATCACCTCACGGTTGACCAAAGCCTGCTCACACCAGAGGCGAAGTTACAGGTCTTCAGATGGTCTTCCCACTTCTTCCGCTTATGTACGTTCACTAGTTGCCGAATCTCCGAGTTGAGATCCCTATACGGGGATTTACGGGATCGGCCTGGAGAAGGGATTAACCTTTTTGTTATTAAATTTGTCGTTACAGTTTCGAATTTGGAAGGAATTGGTTTTAAATTTTGTTCACTCCACAAAGACACAAAATTGTTCACTCTATAGAGTACTCAATGGAAAAATTTTCATGTTCACTCTTTCGAGGTGTTCGTAGCATCGGGTGTTCACTCCAGCCAGATAACACTGTATAAGAAATTGACTTTAGTGCTGTGGTCTGGAGGAATTTTTTTCTTAGAATTTTATGAAGAATCCGGATATGCTAGGAACGATGTCGGAAAACATCGATCCATACAAATTGACCCGCCCTAATGTACACCCAAAAATTTTAAACTTTTTTCGAATTTTTAGAAAAATTCTAGATATGCAGTTCTACAGCCCATTAATTTAAGTACGTAAAAGAAAATTTCTAGACGCTTGGAAATCGCGTTGCTTTTTAATATTTTTTTTTGCTGAAGATGCTAGGCATTTTCTTTTATATAAAAGGCACTTATCCTAAGATATAACGTGAGTGAATTGAACCCCTACTTGGCTTCTTATATTTTTAATAATAATCTTTAATATGGACCGCACTAAAAGCCATTTTATATAAAAACTCGTACGTGTCCCACCCGTGACAAACGTTGTCCCACCCGTGACAGAGGAATTTCGGATGTTTCTCTAATATAGCAATAATTTTTGTTGTAGTTTTTGCTTTGTTTGTATTCGTAGTTCTTTGTTTTATTACAAGACATCAAGTTCACACAGAAAAGTGAAATAAATTCTCAGAGTTTCCGTAAAATATATCTGCTCCAAAAAGCAGGTTCATTTATTTGTGCCAACCGTGACAGAAGAAATAACTCAGATATTTTCCATATGAAAGTAAGCTGGATTTTTTTTCGTATTTTGTAATGACCCATATAATAGTCAATTAGGTGTAGCTTTATCAAAATGTAGAATTGTTGAGTACCTTATAATTAAATTTAAACAAGAAAGAACATTTTTTCTGCACAAATGTCCCACCCGTGACGGTGGAATTATTAAAAAAGATAAGAGGGGGTTCAATTACTCACCTTTTATCTTAGGATAGTGCCTGTTATATAGAAGAAAATGCCTAGCACCGTCGCGATTTCCTAACGTCTTGAAATTTTCACTTTTACCTACTTAAATTTAATGGGCTATAAAACTGCATACCTAGAATTTTTCTAAAAATCCTGAACAAAAAGTTTAAAATTTTTGGGTGTACATGTTAAAGTTTGTTGAATTTTTACAAAGTGCTGTTTGTTATTAAGCGCATGCACAAGTGTGTGAGTCGATTCTAGTACAAATTGCTGCTCATGCACATGCACATAATATATTTTTAAAAGAAATTGTTTATAAAACATATTATAAAGATATTAAAGAATTATTTTAAGATTAGAGATAGAATTAGAAGTGTATGAGTTTCCCCATGCAAACCACACACATGTGCGTGTGCTTTATATAAATAAATGTAAAGTATACACATGTGCCTGTGCTTTTTACCAAATGGCACACACATGTGATGTGAGCAAATTTTTTTAATTTTTTATATGCACAGCACACGTGTGTGAGCTTAAAATGTTAGGATGTGCTGCGCATGTGTGTGCAAATACGAACCCTGGTAGTTATTTTTTAAAAGAAGTGAACAGTGTAGTAAAATATTTGGAAATTCGTTTAAAAATTAAAGAATGTTGTGGGGATAGGGGCTCAGGGGATCACACATTTTTATTACCGGGCACATTTTCTCTTGGCGGCCCTGTGCACATACACTCCACTTATACATATTTCTAACATTTTTAGATGCGAGGCATGTCGGAGAAAGAAGCTCACAAACTTACCGCTGAATTATTAATAAGGCTTAACTTACAAGACAAGGAAAATGACTTCGGCAACTGCCTGTCAGGTGGTATGAAACGCAGATTGTCGTTGGGAATTGCGATTGCTGGTAACACAAAGTAAGCATTTTCAGTAGTTCACGTGACGACTTTAACACATAAATATTTATGCGATATTTTATATTAAGGATATTCAGACTATCCTCGTTAATGTATTATGTAATTAGTTATCTGGTAACTCGGTAACACTTTCAACGCCCCTTATTCTTTTTTGGTTAAAATTACGTTCGAATCAGCTGGCGTGAAGTTATTTTATTTATAAACATTCAATAATTCCACGACGGACAGTTTTACTGAACTTGTGGGATGTCCACAATAAAATAATATTTATTTTCCAAGTATATTTAATGTATATTTATTTTAGTTAAAGTTGCTAGCACTCAAAATGTGACAGGTGTTCAACGAAGTTGGATAACAAGAGAAAGAGAACAAGTTTCTTCGTTGCCACTTGTTTACAAAACAATTAAATTAACAAACGCTCAGCGTCGCATTTCATGATTGAGAATGAACTATATTATATGTACGCCACATCACTCCCCCCTACGTAGGAAAGCGAAAACGTACTCGTCGTCCGAATTTTGTATGATATTCCTTGTGCTGAATGTCTTGTTTCGACGCGGTTTGGTTATCCTCGGCGACGAAAGCTGCTTTCAGCCGGTCGATGGAAACGTTCACGTCCTTCCCTCGGATATTGATTTTAAAAAACTTTTCCTTACGTTCTATTGCGGGAAATGGTCCCTCGTATGGTGGTTGAAGAGGCTGACGAACCGCATCGTTGCGCACAAAAACTGCTGGTGTGGAGTGTAAATTCATTTCCACAAATGGCAAATGCGCTGAGTTGTTTGTTGTGGGAGTTGGCTTCAAAGACTGCATGCGAAGGCGTAGCTTTTCAACAAAGTCGCATTCGTTGATGTTAGGCGCGTGTTGTTCGGAAAAGAATTGGCTAGGTAATCGTAGCGTGCTACCGTAAACCATCTCTGCGGAGGTAGCTTTCGGGTCATCTCTTCATGATGAACGGAACCCTAAAAGAATATTTGGAAGCACTTCGACCCAATTATCCGTCATGTGGCATTTTAACGCTGCTTTCAAGGACCTATGCCAACGCTCGATAAGCCCGTTTGACGCTGGGTGATACGCGGTGGTACGTAGGTGTTTTATGCCTAGAAGTCTGGATAGCTCTCGGAAGAGTGCAGACTCAAATTGCCTGCCCTGGTCAGTTGTCACTCTACTCGGCACTCCAAATCTAGCGATCCAGTGTGTGTAAAAATTGAAAGCGATTGTCTCCGTCGTCATGTCTTCCAACGGATATGCCTCCAGCCAACGGGAGTAGCGGTCGACTATCGTGAGGCAGTATCGATACCCCTTGCAAGGTGGCAATGGTCCGACGATGTCCATGTTTATGTGGTCGAATCTTTGTTCCGGCAACATGAATGTTGACAGCGGTGCTCGGTTGTGGCGCTGTACTTTGGCCTTCTGGCACTGAATGCACTGTCTGGACCATAAGCAGCAATCCTTTCGTAGACCTGGCCATATGAACTTCTCGGCGACCAGTTTTGTGGTTTTGGCAGCGCCTGTGTGAGACATTTTGTGTATGGAGTCGAAGGCTGGTTTGCGAAAGGAAGGAGTTAAGTATGGTCGGGCTCTACCGGTGCTCACGTCGCAAAAGATTTCGATGTCTGTGCCTGGAATCAAAAAAGGTTTCAATGTTAGGCTTGACTTTGAATTAAGTGAACTCTGAAACTCTGAATCGGCCTGTTGACTCTTTGCAAGCTTGGCAAAGTCCGTCGTGCACGTTATGTGTATGGCGTCGATACGTGAGAGTGTGTCTGCCACTACGTTGTCGTTTCCGGGGATATAACGAATGTCCGTTGTGAATTGGGCGATTAATTCTGAATGTCGCATTTGACGCAGGGGTGCCTTTTCCAGCTTTTGCTGGAACACGTATTGCATTGGCTTATGATCGGTGAGAATGAAAAATTCTCTACCTTCCAGCATGTGTTGAAAATATTTGACAGCTTTGTACGCTGCCAACAGTTCGCGATAATAGGTGCTGTATCTCGTTTGTGCTTCGGTGAGACGTTCAGAGTAAAATCCCAGTGGTTGCCACTGATCATTGTCGTGTTGTTGCAATACAGCACCCACAGCCGCTCCCGAGGCGTCCACCGTCAAGCTGAGTTTCGCATCGGGCTTCGGGTAAGAGAGTAGAGTCGCTTTGCACAAGTCGTCTTCACACTGCTGAAATGTCTCTCTCGCTTCGTGGGTCCACTCGATTTCGGATGTGTCATTCTTCTTGTTGTCTTTCACGAGTTTACATAAGGCTGTCTGCGTTTTCGCGGCGTTCGGCAAATACCTACGAAAGAAATTGATCATGCCGAGAAAGCGTCGAAAATCGCACGACCTTTCGGGCAGTTTAAAATCTCGAATAGCCTGTACTCGTTCCTATGGGGGTGAGATTCCGCTTCTGTTGATTGCGAACCCTAAGAATTTCACTTCAGATTGGCCCAATACACATTTCGGGCGGTTTATAACTAACTCGTACTCACGCAGTTTTTCGAATACCAGTCGCAGATGTTGGCGATGCTAGTTCATATCCTTCAACGATATCAAAATATCATCGAGGTATGGCCAAGCGAAGTCGTATTCACGGAAGATGTGGTTCATAAATCTTTGGAATGTTTGACTAGCATTTCGTAAACCGAAGCACATGAAGGGAAATTCAAACATGCCGAATGGCGTAGTGATTGCCGTCTTCGGTATGTCGGTTAGCTCAACGGGAATCTGGTGGTACGCGCGACGTAGATCGAGTGTGGAAAAAATACTACAGCCATGAAGCGAATGAGTGAAGTCGTGCAGATGAGGAATAGGGTACCTGTCTGGCTCGGTAACAGCGTTCAACCTTCGAAAATCGCCGCAAGGTCTCCATTCGCCATTTTTTCTTGCCATGTGCAGAGGGCTCGCCCATGGACTGCGAGATGGGCGACAAATACCTGCGTCTAGCAAGAACTGTATCTCTGCTTTCGCGGCTTTCAGTTTCTCCGGAGATAACCGTCTCGGTTTGGAGAAAACTGGTGGACCTCTGGTGACGATGTGATGCGAGACATAGTGTTGTGGTTGTGCGGTCGCAAAATTTTCTACCGTGATGTCTTTGAATTCACTCAATAGATCCTGGAACGGTTGACTTTTGTTGATGCATGATAAATACAACACTACCTTTTTATCAGCTGACAGCGAGCAAAGTTTGGCTATGTTTGTCATATCGTCGATGAGTTTTCGGTGTCGTAAGTTGACCGACAGGTTAAAATATGCTATGCGATGATGGCCTGTGACACGTCGGCAACGATAAAATTCCAGCGAAATTGGCGGCGAAGTCCCAAGTTGACAAACATAGCCTTTTCACAGTAAGTTGTTATGGTAGACTTGTTTGCTGCGTAGAGGAAGTTGTTATTGTCAGGGTATCTGCGTTGTTGTTGCGTCGGTGGAACAACGCTATTTTCAGCTCCCGTGTCTATAAGGAATTTGATTGCGGAGTTCTTGTCCAGAACGATGAGGCGGCGGTTCGTATTGTTGAGCCTGTCGTTGACCGCCATTGACGACAGACTAACTAGTTTAACTTTTTGGAGCATGGACTGCGACATTTCTTTGCGTCGTTGCCAAATTTGAGATGGTACCAACACAATCCATTCGAGTCGGCGTTTCGCGTGCCGGAGCGTGACGGAGGACAGTACCTGGTTCGACTTCTGGATCGNTACTAACTAGTTTAACTTTTTGGAGGATGGACTGCGACATTTCTTTGCGTCGTTGCCAAATTTGAGATGGTACCAACACAATCCATTCGAGTCGGCGTTTCGCGTGCCGGAGCGTGACGGAGGACAGTACCTGGTTCGACTTCTGGATCGGCGATTTATGTTTGCTTTTATAGAAGCGATCTCTTTTGTGATTTCAGCCAGCTGTTGCTCGATATTAGATTGCGTATGTGCGGCTNTTGCTCGATATTAGATTCCGTATGTGCGGCTGTTTGTTGCGTCTCGACTGCGCTGACATGTGGTGTATCGCTAACCTCACTTATTTTATCAGCTAGCAGTGCTACTTTGTCGAGAGGCTCATTGCTGATGGAAATGATAAGCCGCATGTTGGAAGGTAAACGACTCATCCAAATGGACTTGAGAATGTTGTCGTTTATTTCGCTGCCGGCCAAACTACGCATTTCGCAGAGGAGCTGAGATGGCCGCATGTCGCCGAGCTCCTGTTCCTGTAATAGTTTCTTTACGCGCTTTTGCTCGGAGTCAGCGAATTGNATCGCCGAACTCCTGTTCTTGTCATAGTTTCTTTACGCGCTTTTGCTCGGAGTCAGCGAATTGCGTAATCAAGCGGTTCTTTAGCGATAGGTACAAGTCGCTACTCGGTGGATTAAGGATTATATCACTTATTTGTGCCAGAACGTTGCTCTCTATTGTGTGGTACTTGGTTCTGTCAACTGGTTTCCTGATTCATCCTCGGCCATTTTGATTTCCGTCGGGGTCACCATATGTGGGATGTCCGCAATAAAATAAGATTTATTTTCCAAGTATATTTAATGTATATTTATTTTAGTTAAAGTTGCGAGCACTCAAAATGTGACAGGTGTTCAACGAGGTTGGATAACAAGAGAAAGAGAACAAGTTTCTTCGTTGCCACTTGTTTACAAAACAATTAAATTAACAAACGCTCAGCGTCGCATTTCATGATTGAGAATGAACTATATTATATGTATGCTTTCAGAGTCGTAATTTTAGATGAGCCATCTTCTGGTCTAGACATTGAGTCACGCCGTGAGCTATGGGACATATTGCTAAAATTGCGGAAAACAAAAGCTGTGTTAATTACTACCCACCACATGGAGGAAGCAGAAGTTTTAGGTGATACGCTTGCTATATTAGCTAATGGGCGTGTGCATTGCTCCGGTTCACCATTAGAATTAAAACTAAAAATTGGGCGAGGATACGTGCTGAAGCTCTGTATAAATAATTACCAAATGGAACAAGAGATATTGCAAATAGTACAACAGAACGTACCAGCATCAAAAATTTTGGTAACTGTCTAAGCGAATATGTTCCGAAGGATCAACTAAAAATCCTATTTTTCATTCAGACTATAGTACCGCCTGCAATGCACATAAGTTTACCGTACGAAAATAAGAGTGAATATAGTCGTGTGCTTCAGAAATTGGAACGACGACAGGTTGAACTTGGCATTAATTCAATTTCCATATCTGATGCTTCGCTGGAGGATGTGTTTTTGAAGTAAGCCATTTATTTAAAATTATTGGAATGTAAACATTAAATTATGTTCAATTATAGCTGCTTGTCCGAAATCGATGTTGTGGACGGTATAAGTATGGATAAAGAGGCACCTTCGTATAATCCCATTACAACTCGGGGGCCCTCCGTAGGTTGGAAGGAACAGATGGAAGCAATTTTTTATAAAAAAATTATATTTATCAAGAACCAATGGATCTATACATTAGTAATGGTAAGTTTTTCGTCTTTAAATGCTGTTTATTTTATCTTAAGAAACTGTGTTCGCAAAAATATTTGTGTAAAAGCCAATTGATTTAGAAAGATAATGTCGGCCATTTTCGACCGGTAGCAGCTTTAATATGCTTGTGCCCAACGTAGCGCGTATTGTTTCAGGCACTTAAACAACAGAATAACCATTATGATCAGGGTTCGGAAATACTCACTCACCTTCGTACGCGAACGCGAACGTGAACGTATCAAATATTCGGTAGCTATAAGTTGCATCGATACGTTCGCGACCATTCACTGATGTCGTTCTTGTTCATAAGTGAATGTAAATGCCGTGTTAAACATTCGCGGAAAGTTGGTGCGGCTAGAGATACTATTCTATGCGAATATTAATTGCATAAGATTTGCACCTTTCATTCGATTTTCAAAACAAAGGTACCAAATGGAAGGGCTTGGCCTCTAGATGTGCAGCAAGATTATATATTTTTAAAGTGTTGCCACCTGCTTATAAAATGATGATATTTGCACCGTTCGCCCGATTTTCAAATATGAGGTGCCAAACGAACAGGCTTGGCCAACAGATGGGAAAGTAGGGTTTATTTTTTGAATAGGGTTGCCTTTTTATATGCCCTCGTTTTCAGCTGATTAAGTTAAGCGACATTTGGACTAGTTTTTCCTATTTGTTCTTTGTTTATTTTATGTTTATATCTTCTTTATAAAAGTCCGGCCCATTACATAACCAGCACCACATAAATCCACATTTCAAACTTCGTACAAAAATTCCACAAACTTTAACAATTACCTACTCCCAAAAATTTCAAACTTTTTTTTAGGTATGCAGACTCGCAAAAATTTTAAGATTTACGTGAGCTGGACCGATTTAAATATTTTTTGAAAAAATACCTCAGATGACTGAACAGTTTAAGCTTAAAAAGTTTGCAAAAAAATATTTAAAAAATATTTCTACGGAATCATAGTAACGAGATTTTTGATGCTGTTTTTGAACATTTTTCAAAGAATGGTTTAAGAAAAACTTGAATAACTCAGCCAAAACCTTACCAATTTAGACTTATGAGCAGGGAACGGATTTTTAGGACATAAAAACTTATAAAAAGGCAAAATCAAATAACGAAATAGGCTACATAGAAAAGGCAAAATAAAATAGCAAACTAAGCTACGAAAAAAGGCAAAAGATGGCACTAAAAGAAGACAACAACCGAAAAATAATAAAGAGTACATTTATTTTACAAATATTTATTTTAGAAGTAAAAAGAGCAAAACTATGAACTACTTTCATTATATCGACCCCTTTGCGCAAAATTATCGTATGTTACAAAAGCCAAATTTTACAGGAAAGTGTTTTTTGTATTTTTCTCTGCTTTGGCAAGCCCCATCAATACCAAAGTTTAGATTTGCTGAGATAATTGAGAAGTATAACTAAACGCAGGCTTTTTTTTAGAAAGGTTTCTACATTATAATTTCTTAGCCCATATGAAAATTTCCCCTACAAGACAAAAATCATTGTCACATACGATGAAATTTACAGTAAATTTTTGGGGTAGCTATTGGGATTCAAGCCGTAATATTTGAACAGGTGATGCGTTATGCGTTGTAAAAAAGTTGCATCAAAAAGTGAATTTCGTAAAAAAAGTAACATATGTAGTGGCTCTTGTAGCTCCAAAATCATTTTACTTGTGACTTATTAGTGTTTTCTACCTCTGTCCATATGTATATATTAGCACTTCCGGCGATATTGCCCTGTGTAAGCTCGCTAAACATAGCTCCTATAACTATCATGATTTCTTTTACGCCGGGAAAAGTAGCGCTAGTCCTTCAAATTTATCTATTCATTCAGCTACACTTAAGGTCTCCTGTTGCAAAATTGAAGCCTGTCGAGTCTTTCAACCACAAGGCGTAGCACCATAAACGTCCTTTTTTTAAAAAAACGTCTTCAAGCAAAGTTTAAATTTTTTTGTTACTTTTTTATGAGTGCGGTGTACGATTAACTGGAGGTAAGCAAGTGTTAGCGATACATTTTTTCTATTTTTTGCTAATTTTAATTAGTTCAATAAAAAAAGACACCACTTATTTTTATTTGTAGGCATTCCCAATTTTATCAGACGCATATGTACCTACATTAGACTGCATCACTCCCCATACAAAAAAAATCGGTGCTATTTTTCCATTGGAATTATAAAATTTATTATATTCTTAAACTCCATTTTTAGAGGTATTTTCAAATCGGTCCAGCTCACTTAAATCTTAATATTTTTCCGAAATATTTTGGTGGACTTCTTAAAATATAACAAATTTTGCAATCCCGGCGGAAAACCTGCAACTTTTTTTGGTGATGCAGTCTAACCTACATACATTTTTATACCGTCTTGGGTGGTGCATTTTCCGCATTATTGTATCGTTGTACATTACAACGCTTCTCTCAGTAAGCTAGGCTTACTGTCACCACCTGATGAAGCGGAGCCTACTCTCGCAAACCTTGCTTCTCTCGGTGAGTTAGGCTCATCGGAACAAATTGAGGAAGCCTGTAACTCGGCCTTCTCTGCTTCCTGCCCACTTGTACTTCCGCGAGGAAAGAAAAAGCTACACTGGTGGAGCAAAGAAATCGCATCTCTAAGGAAGAAAAGCAGGAAACTCTTTAATGCGGCAAAGCGCGATGCTTCTTGGACTGCATACAAGGCAGCCCTGAAGAAATTTAAAAATGCCACCAGGAAAGCCCAAAGGGACTGCTGGAAGGATTATTGCGATAGTATAGAGGGTCAGTCGGAGGGAAATCGCCTGCGAAAGGTGCTTGCGAAAAGTCCGACGAACCCGATGTATATTCAGAAACCAAATGGTGACTGGAGGAAATGCTTGAAGTCCTAGTGAACGCGCACTTTCCGGGATGTACTGCGGAGCCCAACACCACGGTTATTATTTCTGAACGGCCGTTGACTTCAGCGGACTTTATTGACGTAAAAAGGGTAGACTAGGCCATAAAGTCCTTCCAGCCCTACAAATCTCCTGGTATGTATGGTATTTTCCCTGCCCAACTTCAGTCACCATCTGACGTTTTATGTCCGATACTTTTCTTAATTTATAAGGCTTGTATCAAACTTAGTTTCATACCCAACGGCTGGACCCTGGCGAAAGTTGTGTTTATTCCCAAGGGAGGTAGACCCTCCCACGTTAAACCAAGTGACTTTCGACCGATAAGCCTCACTTCTTTCTTTCTCAAGGTTTTGGAAAGACTTCTAGACTAGCAGATCCGACAGGAAATTGATGTAAATAATCTCTCTAGCTGTCAGCACGCCTACTGGAAAGTTAGATCTGTGGATACAGCTTTGCATAGTATTGAAAAGACTCTCGCTTTTAAGGAATTTGCACTAGGCGTGTTCCTAGATATCGAGGGTGCCTTCAATAATGTTCTCCCGGGAGCGGTTCTTCAAGCCCTTACTCGCCTTGGGCTGGATCACCCTATGGCCGAGTTTGATCATCGCCTCTTAGGCAGTAGAGCTATTTATTCGGAGATGGGGGAGGTATCTATAACAAGATATGCGAATCGCGGAACCCCACAAGGCGGTGTTCTCTCCCCACTTCATTGGAATCTAACGGTGGTTACCCTGCTGTCACGGTTGCAAGGTACAGGTTGCCAAGTCATTGGTTACGCGGATGATCTTGCCCTGACGGCAATTGGTAAGCACCCCCCAAGTTCTATGTGACTTACTTCAAGGCGCTTTACTCGTCATGGATACCTGGTCCAAAGGAGTAGGACTTAGTGACAATCCAGCAAAAACGGCCATGGTTCTGTTTTCAAAGAAGACGAAAGCTGTCCGACTACAACCTCCTTCCTTGAACGGTATCGCACTGACTTTCGCGGAGGAGGTTAGATATCTGGGCGTTATTCTTGACAGAATGTTAACTTGGCGGCGCAGTATAGAAGAGCGCTGCAAGAAAGCTATAACTGCTATGTATGCCTGTAAATCGGCGATTGGGAAAAAATGGGGATTGAAGCCTCACATTCTGAACTGGATGTACACAGCGGTTGTGCGTCCCATTATATTCTACGGCATAACGGTTTGGTGGCCATCCGTAGATAAATCTACAATAAGAAACAAATTAACAGCGGTCCAAAGGGTGGCGTGCATGATGATCACGGGAGCGTTACCATCGACGCCTACTAAAGCCCTAGAGACCTTGCTTCACTTGCTACCTGTTTACCTATATGGTAAACTCCAGGCAAGCTGTAATGCTATAAGATTAAATGCACTAATCAAATGGAGTGACACGAGGTTTGGTCACTCTAGAATTTTGGAAGATCTNTTAGATCTGTGGATACAGCTTTGCATAGTATTGAAAAGACTCTCGCTTTTAAGGAATTTGCACTAGGCGTGTTCCTAGATATCGAGGGTGCCTTCAATAATGTTCTCCCGGGAGCGGTTCTTCAAGCCCTTACTCGCCTTGGGCTGGATCACCCTATGGCCGAGTTTGATCATCGCCTCTTAGGCAGTAGAGCTATTTATTCGGAGATGGGGGAGGTATCTATAACAAGATATGCGAATCGCGGAACCCCACAAGGCGGTGTTCTCTCCCCACTTCATTGGAATCTAACGGTGGTTACCCTGCTGTCACGGTTGCAAGGTACAGGTTGCCAAGTCATTGGTTACGCGGATGATCTTGCCCTGACGGCAATTGGTAAGCACCCCCCAAGTTCTATGTGACTTACTTCAAGGCGCTTTACTCGTCATGGATACCTGGTCCAAAGGAGTAGGACTTAGTGACAATCCAGCAAAAACGGCCATGGTTCTGTTTTCAAAGAAGACGAAAGCTGTCCGACTACAACCTCCTTCCTTGAACGGTATCGCACTGACTTTCGCGGAGGAGGTTAGATATCTGGGCGTTATTCTTGACAGAATGTTAACTTGGCGGCGCAGTATAGAAGAGCGCTGCAAGAAAGCTATAACTGCTATGTATGCCTGTAAATCGGCGATTGGGAAAAAATGGGGATTGAAGCCTCACATTCTGAACTGGATGTACACAGCGGTTGTGCGTCCCATTATATTCTACGGCATAACGGTTTGGTGGCCATCCGTAGATAAATCTACAATAAGAAACAAATTAACAGCGGTCCAAAGGGTGGCGTGCATGATGATCACGGGAGCGTTACCATCGACGCCTACTAAAGCCCTAGAGACCTTGCTTCACTTGCTACCTGTTTACCTATATGGTAAACTCCAGGCAAGCTGTAATGCTATAAGATTAAATGCACTAATCAAATGGAGTGACACGAGGTTTGGTCACTCTAGAATTTTGGAAGATCTTCAAGAGGGCTTTAGGCGCCTGGACTACACAGTCCAGTCTACGGGACTAAAGAAACATTTCCAGACAAGGATCCCCTCAAGGGAAGAATGGGAGGAGGATTCGGTCCTGATATCGTATTCTGACTCAACAGCCATCTACACTGATGGCTCCAAGTTGGATCTGAAGGTAGGAAGTGGGGTATACTCGCAAGAACTCTCACTTAGCCTCAGTTTTCGTCTACCAGATCTATGCAGCGTTTTTCAGGCTGAACTAACAGCAATAAATGAAGCTGCCAGTTGGTTGATCGATTCTCTAATTAATCTGAAGGCGGTAACAATATTTTCTGACAGCCAAGCTGCTATTAAAGCACTTTATAAAGACAATTCTACGTCGAAGGTTGTTATGGAATGTAGACGTTCTCTTAATGAACTGGCAAGGTACTACGTCACTAATGTTGTATGGGTGCCAGGCTACAAAGACATACCGGGAAACTGTACTGCGGATGAACTAGTAAGGGAGGGAACCTTGTTGTCTGCAATCAGTACAGCCCGTAATGCGGGCATTCCGCTATCTTCTTGCAAGCTCTGGCTATAGAATAACTTTGTCGGACGGGCTAATATAAGATGGTCTGCGAAGCCTACTTGCAGGATAGCAAGACATATCTGGCCTAAGCTTGACAAGCGTAGATCTCGCCCTCTCCTCCACTTGGAGCGACCACTGCTGCGGCATGTTATTGGAGTTCTCACCGGGCATTGCCTGATGGGAATCCACGCCACTAGAATGGGTTTGCAGTCAAACGACTACTGTCGTAGCTGCCGCGATGAGGAGGAAGTCGAAAGCGTGGAGCATTACTTATGCCGCTGTTCTGCTCCGGCGAGAGCTCGCCGACGCTCGTTCGTCCATTATTCTTTTGAATGTCTGGCCGAACTGGATTCAGCCACCGTCTATGACTTTGTGCGCTTCATCAGAGCTACGAAGTGGTTCCATTACTAGGGTAAGAGGAGGGACATATGGAGTCTTTTGTACGGCACCACAACGGGCCCATGGTGGCCTAAGTGTGCCCCTTTTCCTGTAGGATTAGGGCAGCCGAGTTAACCTAACCTAACCTAACCATCGTTGTACATACATACATCGTGCCAAATCCTCTACGGGTAATTAATATAATGTATATACGTACACAAAAACGTCATTTAATAGTACCATTAACGAACATTCCTCTCTAGACTTGGCACTTTGTATATAATTCCTACAACTCACCAAGTACATAAGATAATATACCGGTGCCGTTAAACCTAGGTATGTGCATATGTACAGTCCCGCATAAGTGAGTAATCGGCACAAGGAGAGCTACCAGCAGGTGTCAGTTTCGCGCGGAGTTCCTAACATGCGGACTACTATGATTTTGGACGCAAAACCAGTGCCGTGTGGTTATTAATAATAACATACTAGCATATATCTCCATAGGGAAATAATCGGTTATCAAAAAAAAAAAATAATAATAATTAACGTGAAATCGGTAGAAATGAGGAGCATATTTTACATATGCACACTTGCATTGCGTTAGAGTAGCAGAAACCCGTTTTTGATGTGCTTTTTTCTTTTTTTTTTTAGTTTTTGTGTTACAGGAAGCTGAAAATCAAAGTATAAATTAGAATATATTGTAGTTAACAAAAAAAAAAAAAAATTGCATGAGATAAATTTTGTGCCGCGTGCTATATTAAAGAAAAGACAATATGCACAACTGTACAAGCAGTTAGTACAGAAAAAAAAGAAAGCTTTTTCATGAGATAAATTGTTGGTGCATGATATTCAATTCGGTGTACTAGGAAACTAACAAAAAAAAAAAAACCAAAAAAAACCATCAAGTGAAACTAAGCGAAAAGATTTCGACCAGTTTGGTATACAGTGCATGCCATTGGCAACATTAGTGTTTTTTTTTCTCTTTATCTGCCTTAGCAACACCTGAAAGAGCTGGATGGTCACTCACGCTATGAAAGATCTTTCATCGTGGGAACGCAACTTGTCATAAGTCCAATCGAACTTAATTTTTTTTTGCCATTTATGACTACATGCATATGGATTTTTAATGTTGGCAATGCCATCAATGTATTTGAGAGAGGTATAAGTATAAGCACATTAGCTTGTTGGTGTTTTTTTTTATATTTGCATTGTACATAATTAATATACACATACTCTAAACCATATTTTCAATTTAGTTCTAATTGTACAAATAGGTATACATACATACGTACATATTCACGTACGTCAGAGAGTAAGCGAGTTGTTATGGATTATGAGACTAGGGCCCCTATTATGAGTTACATTCGATCTTCGACTGTGGTCGAAAGTGCTGATCGAACGAATTTTGATTTGGTATTATGGCGCTCATTCGATGAAAAATAGCGCTATTGTGAACTTCGCTCGTTTATGTTGTTCACAATAGCATATTTTTCACCGCTGAGAAGCTTTGTTTACAAATCGAGCAAACTAAATAGTGTGCTTATACATATTTATGTAAATTTGTGCAAATTAAAATGAAATAAAAAAGAAAGCAAGTTTATAAAAACGTGGTAAAAATTAGTACAACGAAGTTCTGGGGTTCAACGATTCGTCAGCGGATGAGAGTTTAGTGAACTGACCAGGAGTAGTAAATGTTTAAGAGAGTTTAAGTGTAGTCTTTACAGTATATTTTTACATAAAATATATTTAAGAAATTTGTCTACAGATTTACTAAAAACTTCCGACTGTCTAAAGAGGCGTTTGTGAGCCAAATCTATTTAAAATATTTTAAAACTTCCCACAGATCTATGATTTGTTCTCAGAGATCGTGCCAACTGAGTATTGGGATTTTCCTTCACAAGTAAAGCAGCCTTTCGAGCTTGTGTTTTGTATTCACGACGTTAAAACTGCATGAAATTCATAAAAAAATTGTTTAAAATTAGTATCTACCCGCCAAAAAGTAAGAAAACAAATGCAAAATCATCCATTTTTCACAATTTTCTAACGCTTCGCTACCTCATCGAAAGCAAAATTCTGTTCGACAGAAAATTCGATACTCAACGAAAANCATAAAAAAATTGTTTAAAATTAGTATCTACCCGCCAAAAAGTAAGAAAACAAATGCAAAATCATCCATTTTTCACAATTTTCTAACGCTTCGCTACCTCATCGAAAGCAAAATTCTGTTCGACAGAAAATTCGATACTCAACGAAAATTTCGACACGGTTGCATAGCTCATAATACGAGTTTCACTTTCGATCTTCGATCTTCGATAACACTGTGAGACAAATGGTGGGGGTCAGTGATCGGGAAGGGTTCAAACTACCGGGGAAAGTTATATCGGTAAAAAAGAAGTTATAGGTGTCCCGGCGTTTCGCTGGGTCACGTCTAGGAATCGAGATATATCGATTTGAAGTTAGTAACTATCATATAGGGGAAATTGTGACCTTTGGTGGTCTTTTTTTTGACATAACTCGAGAACCACTAGTCCGATTTTGCTCAAACAAATTTAAAAAAATTAAAAAGTCCGACTTTGCTCAAACAAATTTAAAAAAATTAAAAATTACAATTCCTTTAATCTGTTCATATAACGTTTTTCTATATAATCAACAGTTTTGCCGGTAAAAATAAATGTATGAAGAAAAAAAATATTTTTTGCCTAAAATATTAAATTTTTGTATTTTTTAAATTCATAAAAAATCCAAAACGGAAAAAAAGGCAAGTCGTATTACTTTCACGCAAAGTCACATAACCTTTAAGCAAAATGAGACATAGATCATGAAAATCGATGGACGCGTTTCGCTTTTATTCACAATTAAGTGAAGGTATCTCATTTTGACAAGAATATTGATTTTATATTTCAATGAATTTGGATAATATTTATTATATATTATTTATTATTAACACGTAAAATTAAAAATTATTACAGGTAATTATTAGGTTATTACATAGATACATAGGTTATAAAAATCGATGGACGCAAAACTTATTTTCGTTTGTTTGCGCCCTTTACTTTCTTGCGTGGTGGTTCGCCCACTTGTTCAGACTCTGTATCGGATGAGGATCTGTCTTCATCTGGAAAAAATCAATTGTTTTTATTCAGTCAGATAACTTCATTTTTGTGACTTACCCTCGGAGGAAACTCCCATTGTATATTCTTCTTCTTCATCTTCATTGTCGGGATCGTACGTCTTTTGCGACCACCAACAAATTTCAGCCACCAGCGAATCGAGCATTACATTTATTTTTACCGGCAAAACTGTTGAGTATATAGAAAAACGTTATATTAACAGATTAAAGGAATTGTAATTTTTAATTTTTTTAAATTTGTTTGAGCAAAATCGGACTAGTGGTTCTCGAGTTATGTCAAAAAAAGACCACCAAAGGTGACAATTTTCCCTATATGATAGTTACTAACTTCAAATCGATATATCTCGATTCCGAGACGTGACCCAGCGAAACGCAGGGCCACGTATAACTTGTTTTTGACCGACATAACATTTCCCGTTGGTTTCATCCCATCCCGATTTTAACTGTCGCATAGTGTAACCAGCGAAGATCGAAAATCGAATGCAACTCATAATAAGGGCCTAGGATTAAGTGTTGGAATTTGGTTTAGTTAAATAAAATTATAAATATGGAATAGAATTAAAGAATTTGATTTCGAGCTATCGGCGGAGAGCTGTTGTGGTAGGGCTATAGGGATTATTCATCATATTTAGTTATGACCCTATGGATGATCAAGGTTGGGAGGGCAATATATCGGTTGGCATGTTCGTCTAAGCCGGCCGGGGCTAAGTCACTAACAGGGTTAAAGCCAGTAATCTCTTTTCTTTCCCTCTTTTCGAGTTTTTTATTCACAAAACTTTACTCTCTATAGTTGTAGTAACATTGAACCACAAGATGCATTTGGAATTTTTCTGGCAACCTTTTCATTAGATTTTTGCGAAGAAAAGCATTGAATATACTAAACGTGAGCTCGATGTGGGTTGATACAAGTGGTGCCCAATTTAAATATAGAACGTTTAAAACTTTCATATTACCAGAAATAAGACCTTTTTCCTTGCCTCTTACAATTAAAGGTAGAAAAGGCAAAAAACGCCAAATATCTTAAAAAAGGCAAAAAAAGGCAACATCAAATGAATATATCGATGGCTGAGTGGAAGATCGACCTATCTCGGCAGCCAGTTCGAAAACGCCCTATCTCAAACAACTTTTCAAGAACGCCCTATTTCAGAATTTAATTGAAAAACACCTTATCTCAAAATTCGGTTCAAAAACGCCCTATCTCACTTCAAAATGTATTGAAAATATGCTGATATAGGGCGTTTTTGAATCGGTAGCTGAGATATGTCGTTTTTGAAACGAATTCTGAAATAGGGCGTTCTTGGAAAGTTTTTTGAGATAGAGCGTTTTCGAACTGGCTGCCGAGATAGGTCGATCTTCCACTCAGCCATCGATATATGGAATCAGGGAAAGCTAAATTGTGGACAGACATTCTTAATCGAATATACCCTATCCTTTAGCAGAAAAAAGGCAATTTCCATAAAATCCGTTCCCTGCTTATGAGGTATCATTAGTAAAGTATTTCCTCACCCTTTTAATTTCTTTGTGAATAAGCTCATTCAAAGTATGAGAGAGGAAGGTAAGATAAACGAGTGTCATTCCATGTTGCATTAAGATATGTTGGTATTGAATAAAGAAAAAATTGGGACGTGAATGAGTTTTTTTGCAAAGAAATAAAAAGGGTGAGAAAATACCTTTCCACTGATACCTCATAAGACTATATCGGTAAAGTTTTGTAGCAGTTATTCAAGTTTTTCTTACACAAATCTTTGAAAAAAGTTAAAAAACAGCATCAAAAATCGCATTTCTATGATTCCGTTGATAGAATTCCTTAATATTTTTATTTAGATTTTTTAAGCTTAAACTGTTTTGTCATCTGAGGGGATTTTTTCCAAAAAATCCTTTAAGAAACTATTTTTATTCATAAAAAACTCCATTTTTAGAGGTATTTTCAAACAGGTCCAGTTCACGTAAATGTTAATATTTTTTCGAAATATTTTGGTAGAAGTTTTAAAATATACTAGGTTTGGTAATCGCACCGCAACTTTTGTTGGTGATGCAGACTAATGTACAGTAGAGTGGTCCAAAATAATAAAGTCGGAATTTTAATGCCGCCACCCCCTAGGATTGTTCTGAACCGAAAATAAATATAACCCTATTTTTTATTTTGAAATCAAAAAATATTTAGGAAGTGCTCACAGCGCTCAAAGTTTTCCTTGTATTTTATATGGGGAAAAAACAAATTTTCGTAAAAATGGCATAAAACTCTTAAAAATCAATATTTTTCAATCGTAAATCGTTTCTCTTCAGGAGACTTCAAATATTGATATCCAATTGTTTATTTAACCATTTTTTATGATTAAATATTTTTTATTGGTCCCCCCATTGCATTTTCAAGGACCCATAAAATATACTCACCATGAAAAAATTGTTAAAGGAACAATTGGGTATTATTACCTGGAATCTCCTGAAGATAAGCAAAGTTTTTCGATCGAGAAATATTGATTTCCAAGAATTCTACACTATTTCTACGAAAAATTGTTTTTTCCCCCAAATAAAATACATTGAAAACTTTGAGCGCTTTGAGCACACCCTACTTTTTTTTTATTTCAAAATAAAAAAATAGGGGTATACTTTTTTTTGGTATAGAACAATCGCAGGGGCTGGCGGCATTAAAAATGCGATCTTATTTTTTTACATACATTTTTGGACCACTTTAATGTACAGTAGTCGAAAAAATTATAGCCGCACCAAATTTTCACAAGTTTTAAAATATTATTTTTGTTGTTATTTAAATTTGGTTATTTTTTTATAGTTCATTCTTTAACAACATCCGTATAAATACAAGTTTAAAGGCAGTGTCGCACGATTGGGTATTTGTCAAAATTTGGTGCAAATCGTATCCCAATTGTTTGAATACCTAAATAATTTTCTTTATCCCAATCACGAAAATTAATTTGTTGAAATTTTTCAATAGAATATTACTGTATTGTACCAATCTTTTGACTACAAAAAAAAACTCCCATTTTTCTTATTTTGTACTAATCTATACAAATGTACCAATCGAGTGCAACTGCCCTAAAAACATATGCAATTTAAAATAAAATCAACAAATTTTCGTAAAAATTTCGAGTTTTTTAATTAGATTCTGAGTATGCGGTTTTGTGGCCCATTGAATTCTAGTAGAAAGAAGTACAAGTTTCAAATGGCTAAAAACTAAATTGATTTTTTAGTTTTTAAAAAACTTCGAAATTTGTACGAAAGTTTGATGATTTTATTTTATGCAGTTTTGTAGCCTATTGAATTCTAGTAGAATAAAGTACAAGTTTAAAATGGCTAAAAACTAAATTGATTTGTTAGAATTTTTAAAAAAGCTCGAAATTTGTACGAAAGTTTGTTGAATTTTTTTTTATATTGCACAAATTTGGAAACTTGGATTTACACGGGTTTTGTTAAAGAATGAACTATATTTTTATAAAAAAAAATAACCAAAATTAAATAACAACGAAAGTAATACGTTAAAACTAGCAAATTCGGCTATAATTTTTTGACTACTGTATGTATTTTTTAATATCTTTAATTGGACATGCACATTGTATAACAAAATTAAAAAATATATGCCTATTCTGCCTTTTTTCAAAAATCATTTTACCCTTTTTCAAGTTTCTAGTGCCTTAAAGGCCTACATTTGTACATTATTAAAAATCAACGCGATTTTCTAGCGTCTTGAAATTTGCACTTTAACCTATTAAAACTTCATGGGCTATTAAACACTGCACACCCAAACTTTTTCTGAAAATTCTGAATAAAAAGTTTACAACTTTTGTGGGATTTTGGTAAAATTGGTGAATTTTCATAATTTTTGTACAAAGTTTGAATTGTGGATTTATATGGTGCTTGTTATATAATGCGCTGGACTTTTATAAAAAAATATTAAACATGAAGTACGTAAAAGATTAGGCGAAAAAAGGAAAGTCGGAATTTTAATGCTAGGATTTTTCTAGCATTAAACGCCACTCGGCATTCAAGAGAGGACACAATTTTTGTTTGGAAGCATGTCTTTGTTGACGTGGAACGTCTCATATACACTTATTTATATTCCTAAACTTATGCTTGCGCGCAAAAGCGTTCGGAATTTTCAAATTTCACTCTAACAAAAGTTAACAAACTAATGGTTATCGATAGCCAGCGAACTTCAGTTGTGTTGCTAGTGGCCAAAACGATATTACAGATGGCAACTGGCAACTTTCAACTGACAACTGCAGTTGCTACAAAGTGTGTATACAGGCAATTACATTTTTGTGGTTTCTGGGAAGGTTTTTTGGAGCGTATTTAGGAGCGAAAATTTAAAAGTTTGCGATATATTTTACGTTTTAATAATTTGAGCGATATTAACATTTAGCAACGCAGTTTGATTTTACAGAATTCGGTGAAAATAACAAAACAATAACTTGAAATTTTAGTTCCCGTGGAATACGCCCTTTTGGCGAAACAAAAGCGAACACTGATTGCAAATTTTACTCTTTATCAACTGAAGCATCTCTTTTAAAACTACCGACACACCAAGTTTTTCAAAAATCAAAGAGGTGCGCAGGCTTTTATGAGCGGAGGTATTGAAGTTGAACGAAGTGGTCCATCTGTTTACTAACAAATTATAATAATGCTTCTTTTGGAAGTCCTCAATACGCTTTTAAAATGAACACAAAACGATAATAAAAGAAAAACCTTGAAAGCATTAACTTTTACTTACAGTGCACGCGGTAGCGCTAGAGGATTGGAATTATCCTTTAAATGTCGCCTGATTGAGTCCGCGTTCATGCACTTCTCTTCCTCTTAAACAAATAATTATGATGAGCTTAGCTTTATTGCTGTCTTTTCTATAAAACTCTTTATTTTAATAATTTAATTTTACTCGCACAGCTTGTTTACAGCCCACATAGGGGTATTTAGTCGAGTTATGCTGCCAAAATTATTTTTATGAATTTTTCAACTCGAAATGTTTAGAAAATACGTTTTTTGACATAAAGAGTTGAAAATGTTTAAAATCAAGTAAATATAGGTTAAAACATTAACAGAGTTGCCACCTGTTAAAAATTGTGTTCAATTGGTTAAATGAATTGCTGCAATATGGGTATCAATAGAAATGGGTTTGAAAACGCTTTATCTCTGAGGAACCTTCCAGGGTGTAAAAAAACAAACTCAACTTTAATTAATGGAATTAGATAATTCAAATATGTATCACAGTATAGGTAAGAAATGGGTGTATTCGAGGTGCAATTAATGCGGCAGTGTTACTCTTTTATGAAAGAGTATCACGTTCTACGCGAAAATTTGGGCGAAAAAAATTTTGACAATCAGTTACTCTTCATTGGCAAATCAAAAGTAACATACAAATTTTTACTGCGCAATTTCTGCAATATTTTAGAAAAGTTTAAGTTGAGCATCAGCAACACGTTATCAGGAAAGCAACAAGTCTGCAATATTGCGGTAATTATTACGTTGCTCGAACGAACCCAATCTAATAAAACTTGATAACAGTCTTTTTTATTGTTATTCCAAGAATCGATTTAGAGTGAATTAGCTCAGTAGGTATTGATTTATCGCAGTTTTTGGCTTTCTGTAAATTACCGTTATATGGGAAGTGGGCGTGGTTATCGCCCGATTTAAAGAATTTTTAGCAGTTATGTTAGATGTAGCCTAAGCAAGGCGTGTTTGGTACGGATTAGTGAAGCGGATACTGAGATACAGCATTTCATCATAAGTGGGAGGGGCCACACCTATTTTCTAAAAATTTGAAGTTATATTAGTATCCACGTATCCTCTGGGTAGCTGCCAAACACCCGCTTGGGAGCGAGCTAAACTTGAGAGGGCAGGGTTTGGATCCCGCCACGTAAAAACCCCTATAATAACATAATAACTATAATAATACCAAGCCTCGGATGAGACATCTTCTTTTGAAGACGGCCGCAGCAAAAATTTTAAGGAGTACGATCTGGTGGCATGCACTTGGAACATTGACCTGGACCGTTATCTTGTTGCAGGCAAGACACGGCCCGCCTCCGTGCAGCAAAAAGTCTGCGTCCAGCAATGTAAGAAATGCTCAATTTATTCGCCACTGACGCTCACACCTGCTCTCCGAGAGCACTCTTTAACAAACCGACATATGCGAGCACTAGACATTGACGCGACGGAGCTCCATCTGCCTCGGGAGACCAGGACAACAATAGCCCAACTTCGCTCTGGCTACTGCAGCAGGCTAAATTCCTACCTGAGTAGGTTAAATGCGGATGTGCCGAACGAATGTCAGGCATGTGGAGAGACCCCTCACGACTCGAAACATCTCTTCGCATGCCCGGAAAACCCCACAACCCTAACGGCGTCGTCCCTATGGACCGACTTGACGACAACGACTGAGATATCAGCCTATCTGGGCGGGGTTGTTGTAGCCGCTACAACAACAACAACAACAGAAGTAGAACCATATTTCTTGCTCATTAAATAGCGACCAACTGGTATCATGAGGAATGTCACGAAGCTGTAGAGAAAAAAGATGCCGCCTACAGGACTACTCTGCGAGCCATTATAAGGGACTGAAGAGGGAAACGAGACGTGTTTGCTTCAATACGAAGGAGAGCGATAAATATGTGAGTCCGAAGGGCTTGAAATGCTGGCCGACAGGAAAAACTCCCAAAAATTTTAACAGATAGTTAGGCGACTTACGGAAGGTTTCAACAGCAGGGCGAACCCCTGTAAGAACAACCATAGCGACCTAGTGATCGATATCCAGAATGGACTTAAATCATGGAGGGAACACTTTTCCACCCTTCTGAATAGTAGCAGCACTGAAAGTTGTGGAGAAGACGAAATCGAGCCCCTAGTCGATGACGATGGAGCCGATGTCCCACCGCTAGACTATGACGAGGTACTTATAGCAATCACGCCGCTGAAAACACGAAACTGCTAGAGCTGACGGCCTGCCATCCGAGCTATTCAAAAACGGCGGTGAGGAGTTGATAAGGTGTATGCATCAACTCTTATGCAGAATATAGTCGGATGAACGCGTGTACGATGACTGGTATGTAAGTGTGTTCTGCCCAATGCAAGGCGACCCCACCACACGCGCCAACTACTGCGGGATCAGCCTTCTAAGCATAGGTTACAAGGTCTTATAGAGCGTATTGTGTGAAGCAAAAGTTCACCGTCAATTTCATTTAAACCCATTGAGTGTTTTTGCATTTTAGTGGTCACAAACCTCGAGAAAAACGCGTTTAATGTTAATGAGTAAAAAACGCGTTGAAAAACTAAACACTGCCCTTGACTTATTGTCGGATACCTTATACGGGTAACAAACGGACTCGCTTATCTGCATAACAGCCTTTATTGACATTAACTCATGCATTTTCCTCTTTCAAACGCGCATAAGCAGCCGAACAAAATGCACGAAATTTTTGGGAATTAACTTGGATCAGGTTTATTTTCGATGACAACACTGGTAAAAACGTGTGGACGACGACTGGAATTTAAGTGTGCTCTGCGCAATCAGCCTTCTAAGCATAGGTTATAAGGTCTTATCGAGTGTATTGTGCGAAAGACTGAAGTCCACCGTTAACGAGCTGATTGGACCTTATCAGTGTGGCTTTAGGCCTGGAAAATCCACCATAGATCAGGTATTCACAATACGCCAAATCTTGGAAAAGACCCGCGAGAATAGGATCGACACACACCATCTATTTGTCGATTTCAAAGCCGCTTTC